GGAAACCATTTGCAGAGCAGTTGCAAAAATCCTCTCCTTGCAGTAAAAGTCTTGGGCTTTCCTTAAATGAAATCAAGGGTGTGTGTGGAATAAAGCATCTCCCAATTTCTGGCAAATGCTTCTGAGTAGCAAACAGCCTCCAGATCCCAGGTCCTCTGTGGGGTTAGGTTGAATAGGGTGGAGGAAGGAGGTTCCCTGGCAAGTGTGGGGTCTGGCTGACCGTAACCCACAGGGATGGGACCAGCCCTTGGTAGCTCCTGGCACACCTCAGAAACACCAAATGGTGCTGGAGAAACACCATGTTGGGGTCCCCACTGCTGATACCCCCCTCATCTGGGGACTTTGATCTGGATAAGGAAAAACAAAAAGCCCAACAGGCTCTGGAGGAAGGGGAGTGCTGGGGTTTGTTGTTTTTTCCCCCTTCTTGGCCCCACATTTCAGATCCTGAGTGCAGAGGGCACAGGTGCTTTCTGCACATTAAGCCCCTCACAACTTTGCAGGGGTTTGGACGTGACAGTGGAGGAGAAAGGGAAAGGAGCCCCTTTGGAAAGTTGGGTGAGGGTGTGTGCACATGCATGTGTATGAGAGGGAGCGAGAGCGCATGAGGGAGAAAGGAAACACCTGCATGCAAAGCCAAGTAACTGTAAAAATGCTACCTGTTTTCTGTTAACATCTGAGGGTGTTCTGCTTTTTCATGTAAACGTTGCACATGCTGGTTCTCATCTGCAGTTTGTACTTTTTGTTTTGTTTAGGAATCAGGAAGTTTTCTTTTGTGTTTTTCTCTTTTGGAAAAGCTGAACTGCATAAAGTTGGAATAAATTAAATGGGATGCCAGAAAACTGTCATCTTCCCCCTCCCCACTCCCCTCTGTTCACAGGACACGTTTCCTGATGCATCACACACAAATTTGGGCCTGTTCAGCTTTTGTCCTGGGTGTGTTTAAACAGTGGGCCGGACAAGCGGCAATGGGAGTTGGGCCTTTTATCGTTACTGGTCCCAGCTGGATGAGCGGGGAGGAACTGGTGTTGCTCGTCTGCCGGCCTGCTACATTCCTGCTCCACATGTGGTACCTTGTGAATCTGCAAAACACAACTGTGCCCTTTAGTCCTCTCGAGTCAGCAACTGGCCAGTGCCTGTGCAGAGACCATCTCCCTGCCTGACAGCAGCTATATTTGGTGGAAAAGAGTGGTTGTGTCCTGCTTTGCTGGGCAGAGTGCCCTGTCCGGCGTGATGCTCATGGAGCTCCCTGAGCTGCTGAGAGGCTGCTTGAGCAGGGGAGCAGCTTTGCAAGGGAAGGTCCTACCCAGCGCAGAGACCTCAGGGACCTTGGCAGATGCTTGGGCAAAGGCTATAAGGAGAAGGGAGCTCTGCTCTTTCTGGCTTCCCAACCTTGGTATGTCAGGGACTTGTTGCATCCAACTGTGCTGTTTATTAGCCAGCAGATGGACCTGTTCTCCATGAATCATCCAGGCTCCTTTAAGCGTCTCGCTGTGGTTTTGGTCTCCTCTGCACCTCATGCAAAGGGTTCCTTGGCTGAGTGGGGCATTGCAGGGAAAAAACCTCCATGGGTTTCCGTGGAGGACCCTCCAAGGGCTCTCCCCTTTTCTTGCTCAGGGAGAGCAAAATTTGAGCCAGCCAAAAAGCCAGCCTTAGTGTTTCCATGTGAAGTCTTTGCCCAGAATGGGCTGCTGGAAAAGTGCAGGGGGTCCTGGGCTGCGTGTGGGATCAAGGCTTGGCTGAGGTCCTCCACTCATGGGGCCGTGGAGACAGGTCCCTTGAAGGTCCTGCACCTCCTCCCAGGGTGAGAAGTGCTGCCTAAGGGAGCATGATGGCACAGCTCAGTGCTTGGGGCTCCATGGGGAGGCAAAGAACAATAATAATAAAAAAAACCCAACGCATACTGCATTCAATTAAAATTGCAGCCTTGAGGGAGAGGCCCTGTGTAGCCCCCAACTGCCAGCATCCAGGTGACTGCGGTTTCCCTTTGGCCTCCCCAAAGGAAGGCAAAACCACCAGGTTGCTTCCCCATCTGTTTTTTCCTACCCCATGCCAGGACGTTCAGTGGGATTGATGCATGCAGAGGGGCTGGGCAGCAGTGGGGAGCACCAGGAAAATGTATGGGGACAGGAGGCAGTGAGCGCATGGGACTGCAGGGGATGGGGAGGAGGACAGCCAGGATGGGGGGTGGGATATAAGCTGGAGAATATCGGAAAAGGAGCAAAATTAACATTTAATACCACCCCGTTTTGTTCCCCTGGAGGAAGCTGGTGGTGGCTCAGGAGATGCCATGGGGGGTATGTCAGTAGCACTGTGGGGCACAAAGATGCTCCAAGCCAGGTGCTGCCCAGGGAGGGCTGAGGGTGGCAGAGGTGCCTGAGCCCAGCCATGCCTGGGGCCATGCTCCAGTTCAAGGGCTGGAGGTGGCCTTTGCATCTGAGTCAAGAGCCTGAGGAGGACAGGAGCCCTCAGCCCAGCAAAGGGGGCTTGCAGCCTGCCAGGATCCTTGCAGAGCGGCAGACATTCAGCAGTAAGGCAAGGGGAGCAAAGAGCTTCTGGTTAGGTTTCCCCAGGGTTGCCACACAGCCTTGAAGGCTCTGTGTGTGTGTGTGTGCATGTGTGTGATGGGTGTCACTGCTTGCATCCTGGCTCGGGGGTTTCTTCTGGGCCGCCTTTGTGCCTTCTGTACTCTGGATAATCAGGTGTGCAGTTGGGCAGCGGGACCTGGCCAGCAGCACGTGGGGTACTAGCCGAAACCCCAGCAGCTCTGGTGTACACACACAAAAGTTATCTATGCTGGCAAACTCCAGTTTTAGTGTAGCATAAAAATTATACACTAGTATAATATAAATAATACTTAGTATAAATAATTAGTATAAGGCTGTATGGCTGTATCTATGTATAGCTGTAGCTGTAGCTTGTGGGTAGGAGTATGATTTACTAACCCACTAGCTGGGGCCGGGGGGGAGGAGCACCAGTGCCTGTGTGGCTGAAAGCAGCAGCAATGCCTCCCTGCCCGGCAGCGCAGGCAGCGCAGGCAGGCTCGGCGCGCCCCCTGGTGCCGGCTGCGGCA